CCATTTCAATGGTTGATGGTCAGTCATCATGATTATTTCTGCTCCTTCGATGTAACCTCTGAATCTTGAGCAGGCCCAAACAATTGCCAATGCTTCTCTCTCCGTGGTAGAATAATTTCTTTCAGCACTAGAAAGCAATCGGCTCACATATTCTATGGGATGTTCATCCCCTTTCTCCCCCTGGATCAAAACTGCTCCGAGAGCAAACGAACTTGCATCCGTTTTCATTATAAATGGCAAGTCATCCTGAGCTTGCTTCAGTATTGGTGGAGATATTAGCCTCTGTTTTAATTCATTAAACGCAACTCTCTGTTTATCTCCCCAAATCCATGTAGCAGTTTTCTTTGTTAAATCTGTAAGGGGTTTCGCTATTTCAGCGTAATTACATATGAACTTACGATACCATGAGCATGTTTGAATAAAAGATATCAACTCCTTCAAGTTTCTGGGTTCCCTTTTCTCCGAAATTGCCTCTGTTTTTGCTGGATCTACGGCTATACCGGCAGGAGTTAAAATATGGCCAAGATATTTTACTTCACGGCAACAAAAACGACATTTTGAATTGTTTACACGAAGTTTATATTGGGCTAGACGCTTAAACACCAAATCCAAATCTCGTAAATGATCTTCAAAGCTTTCCGAACATATTATTAAATCATCCAAATAGGCAAATATAAATACTTCACTCAGGCCAGATTTAAAACGGTCTATAAGACGTTGGAATGTGGCAGGAGCATTTCTGAGGCCGAATGGCATCCTTGTAAATTTAAACAACCCAAATGGTGTTATGAAACATGTTTTGTCGCGATCTTTTTCGGCTACAGCGATCTGGTAATATCCACTCTGAAGGTCCAATGTGGTCATAAACTTAGTACTTTTAGCGGCATGTAACAAATCGTCCATTCTTGGTAAAGGGTAACGATCAGGTTCAGTAAAACTATTCAGTTTTCGATAGTCGACGCAAACACGTATGCCTCCATCTCTTTTTGGAACCATTACAACTGGCGATGCCCAAGCAGATTCACATTCTTCCACTATTCCCAAATCGAGCATACGGTCAACTTCTGCCTTTAACTCTTTAGTCTTCGCGAAGGATAGTCGATAAGCAGGCGAAAATATTGGAGATTTACTACCAGTGTTAATGGCGTGTTCCATAAAGGGTGTTGGTTCACAAATTTCTCCAAAAATTTCCCTGTGGGTTTTCAAAAGTTGGTCCAATTTTGACTTTTCTTCATAATTTAGACAATGTCCGTCCGAAGGCTTTAAAATAGTGAAATCCGCCATAAATAGAGGGGTGAAAATTGAGTCTAGATACTCGTCATTTTGTGATTTAACACGAAAAAGTTCAGCCTTGTTGCTACGCTCTGGAGTATCCTGTTCATGCAGAGGTAGACAATCTTTGAATATAGCTTGAATTGAATGTGGAGAATAGTCATTTCCGGTAATTTCCGGTCCAAAATCCTCAAATTCAGACATGTAGACTTCACGGTGGTACTTCTTTTCCACATGTACTTCATCTCCATGTTTCCTTTTCACAGCATCCGACGTTGATGCAGGCATCACTTTTGGAATAGGCTTTATGTTTCGATTGGCCACTTTAATAGTCTCGAGCAGATTCAAATTTAATGGCAAACAGTCTGGAAAATCGAAATGGCTATTTGGATCATCTTCAAAACACCAATATCCTTGGCCCATATTCATAATAATAGCTGCTTGCTCAAGAAAATCTGCTCCCAGCAATGTTCGATTATTGGCGGCATTTGGCAAAATGACGAATTGTATATTTAAAGATCTGCCACCAATAAATATTTTGCAAATAGTGGACAGACATTCTTGCACTGATCTGCTGCCGTCTGCCAAAGATATTTCCATTCGGACCTTATTGTATATGCAACCATGGAAATCCATTACCTTCTTTAGATTGGCACTAGCGATACTGGTACGAGCTCCTGTGTCCATATATGCCTGACCTGGTACACCGAACATCTGAATATTCGCCAGTGGAATCTCTCTTCCAACTGTGCGAAGTGACATATTATTAAAACCAACATGTCCTTCAGCATGTCCTTTATTTTTGTTCCCGCTGCAGTTGGGACAATTTGCTCGAACAAATCCTGGAGCATTGCAACCATAACATGCCAATTTCGGTTTTTCCGTATTGGTTTGAGCAATATAATTGGCTTGTTGCCTAGCTTCGGATTCAATTTTCTCCTTCTTAAAGCAATTGTCTCTAGTATGACCCTTTTTGCGACAATACGTGCATCGAATTGGACCACCGGCAGCTACATTCTCAGTGTTCACAACCTTGCCACGCTCACCTAGGGAATCTTCAGCTTCTCGTGCATCATTGAGTAATTCGTCGAAATTTGCCACTTTATGCCGAAAAACTCGATCACGAATTTGGACGTGAAGCATTCCAAACAGGATGTCAATTTGGTCACTTTCAGACGGAGCTTTTGGAAGTTTTGCAAATAATGCTCTCTTCTTCCTAATGAAAACATCAGTGGCTTCGTTTTTCTGCTGCTTTCCATCAAAAATTTCAGCATATATGCGCCATGCTGGCTTTGCTGGACAAAAGGCGTCACGAAGCATCTTCACTACATCCTCAAATTTCTTCGCTTTGGATTTTACACCACTCCACCACTCAGAAGCGTCGCCTAACAATAACATCGGCATGCTGTTGATCGCATCCTGATCACCTATATTTTCCACCGTTTTAAACGTAGTGATAGCTGAGATGAATTCCTCCAGCTTAGTGGAATCTTTTTCTCCATTATACCTAGCCGTGCAGTGAGTAAATGTGCCAACTTTAACATTAGCTGCAGCTACGGCTTTAACCAGCTTCTCGAACTGCTCGGTTGTTAGAGATGTACTTGTCATTGTTTGTAAACGTGGACTTTTTCTTCTTGGGGTTACAGGAATTTCCATACAAATGATTGGGTTGAATTATGTTTGTTGGGCGCCAATTATGTAGCGGGTTTTAGTGTGTGTCTTTGAATATTTTCCAATTAAAATGAAACACACCAAGGTTTTCTACATAAAACGTTATAATATTTTATTAAAGCAATAATCTTACATTGTTGACAATTATTCCATATGCCTCAGACATGAATACAAGGGACTGCCATCGCTTTCACCAAGTATTCCATGTAATTAGCTTTGGAAGAATAAGTCAACCGGCCACATTATCATGTTTCCAAGAAGACTTACTTCTTACCGTATGGATTGTCTATAAGAGAATCAAGGTCTGTTGTGAAAAACCATTGTCCTTTTATAGCGATCCAAACAAAGCTTTCAAAAGTATTGATCGAATATAATTCAAATTAACTCAATATCTTAACTGACAAACAAAAGCTTTTCTTTACGTTAGCAAACTAAAGGATAAAAGAGACAACATAAACAACGTTAAACTAACACTCAATCAGTGATCGATAGTCACTCAATAACTGTTGCATTTGTTCGTTCACTCAATTTGTTTTGAATATTTGTTACAAACAATAAATATTTACGCAGTGCAAAGGTTCAAAGTCTAAACTAAATAATGTTGCACAGTGAATCAAAACAAAACAACAAGGATTAACGATAGGATAATAATATAATAATGACTTATACTAATGTTTTTCTTCTTATGAATAATTTATGGAGAAATAATAAAATATCTTGCTACAAATCTAATATTTCAAATTACAGTCAATTCGGTTGGAAAGCTTGTCCAAAATTCGAAAATAATGGGTACAGTTATATGGCTATACCGAAAGTTGGACCGAAATAGATAATTTTCGGTACGGAGATTCACTACCACATGAGAATCCAAAATATCCAATTACAGCAAATGTGGTTGAAAAATGTGTCCGGAATTCTAAAAATATCGATATTTTTTAGGTTAGGTTATATGCGGACTATACCTAAAGGCCGAATAAAATTGATAATTTTTGGTAGGTTGATTCACGCAACACAATCAGAAGCCAAAATATCAAATTTTAGGTATTCCGATTGGAAAATTTGTCAAAAATCCGAAGATTTGGAATAACGTCATATGGGTGCAATACCCAAATGTGGGTCGAAATAGATAATTTTCGGTAAGGAAATTTCCAACCACTTGAGAATCCAAAATATCAAATTAGTGCCAATTTGATAGAAAAATGTTTCTAGAATTCTGAAAATACCGACAATTTTGAGTTTATGTTATATTGAGACTATATGTAAATGTACCCCGCCGATAGGGATAATTTTTGGTAGGGTGATTTGTCCATAGAAGAAAGTCATATTTATGGTCGAATGCGAGAAACCTATATTTGATTTCAAGAGTAAGGTCTCTCAACTTTGAGGGGTCTTCATAGTCTTTGGTCGGAGCCTACTGGAATCTAGTTGCTTTGCGGCAATTGGGCAAAGAACTTAGATACCAAGTTAAAATGGACAAACTGACGGACACATTTATGGCTACTTGAGATATGATCTGAATGGTTTACAAAAATATGGGTCTGGTTCAACATTTCGTGGTATTACAAACTCTTGGGGCCAAACACAGACTAATAATAACCCCACAATGAGATTTTGTAGACTATAATAAATATTCCACCTCCCCTTCATAATCTTCTCATGGCGGAGTGGGGTATATAAAAATGTTTACATATAATTTTTTTGTGGATCCAATACATCCATACCTAAACAACCAATACCAGGGAGGCGGCATGGCATATTGCAGTTGCATGTAGAACACAAGAACAATTGTACATTTGTTGTGAGTCATTGCCTGATAGGGTATTCTGGGTATTCTGTTTCTTAATAATACGAATAACAACAACAACAAAAGACGAAGAAATGTAAATTAAACAAAAAAACGAAGAAAATTTTTGTGTTAATTGCTAAGTGACCTTGTTTAAACAAAACCGAAACAGAAACGCCCCTTCATCACACATTGTTGCTCATGATGATGATGGAAAGATGCCTATGAGACGATATTTTGTGTGTCTGCCCCCACTAACAAAAATCTCGAAAACTTAAAACCACAGATGATGATGATGCTCTGCGAGCGTGTGTGTGTTAATGTTTGTATCACGAGCACAACAACTTACCTGAAAACTATAGTACATTTTAACGACCCATTGATGATCGGCCTCAACCAATACATCACGTTCAGCACGCACATGGGCCACCTGCTCCTTTTCCAACATATCAGCCTTACGCAAAACTTTCATGGCATACACATGACCAGTGTCCTTTTTCTGGACGAGACGGACCTCGCCGAAAGCTCCCCGACCGATTACTTTCAACGCCTCGAAATCTTCAACACCCAAACGTAAACGTTTGAGGCGAAGAAATTCCGTTTCTTTTTGGGCATGTTGGAGGCGTTTTTCTTGGCGCTGGGAATCTGTGAGACTTTCATCTTTTAGTTGGGCCTCCAACTTGGCCAGACGTTGTTTACGTTCCCCGTATTGTGTCACCAAATTACTGTAGTAATTTTCCAATGTTACCTTGGCCTTGGTGGCCTTGTCAAGTGTGTGGTCGCTAAAGCGTATGGAAGACCCATCGCTACTCATGGTTTGCTGGTTGCTGCTTCTTTTTCTGATTTGTGGGCAAATATTTTCACAAATTAATGGATGTTGTTGTTGTGTGTGTGTTTTTCCACTTTTTCTCCTACTCTTACGCTTCGAAGAAGAACCTTTGTAGCCAGGTTCTTTATTTTTATTGTTGTTGTTGCAATTTTCTTTACTTAATTATTTCCTTGTTTTCCCTGCGTTTATCACTCAATCACACACTTCAGTATTTTCCTTGTTTTTTTTTTCTTTAATATGTAAATAATTCCGAAATCGTAGGGGGCTGGCTACTTTTTTCAGCTTCTACTTTTGTTTTTGTGGGCGACAGCAGGCAGGCAGCAACTCGTCCGTCAGAGTCAATACCACCAACCAGCCAACCAATAATACTCTCACACAAAAACACAACTGTTTGTTGTTGTTGTTGCTGCTGTTGTTGTTGGTAGTAGACTGCTGCAGAGACTCTTTATTCTTCTATATGTGTAAGAGAAGATGGAAAGAAAAAATAAAACGAAATTCTTTTTTTCTTATTGCCGTTCCGTCAATTTTGTTGCTCGTCTCTTTGTGTCCGCGTTTTAGACATTGAATTTTATTAATAATATTTCCATTTCGTTTTCTGTTTATCACAAATAATCAAATAAATGATTTAATTTTGATGAGTTTTTCTTTATGTTGTAAATTATTTTTCTTCTTACTTCACACTAGGGATCTATAAATCGAATTTGTGCGTAAAAAGCTATTAGAGTTATGTGGTGACGAAATGAACTAGTGCAAAGCAAAGAATTCATGAAATGAACAAAGGGAACCATTTTGAACTAACTCATTTATTGAATTTCATTGATTCACGGCTCTTTGTCGAAATTAAAACACAGAAAATAACTTGTTTGAGATAAATGTTTATATTATTTCTGAGAAAAGGATGAAAAAGCAAAAATTATAAATTGTTATTACGTTTAAAGGTGTTTAATAAAAATATGATGTTGATTTAAGAAAAAGTAAAGGTGTGGTTTTGTTTATAGGTTATGTCATATGAAAAATACATATCCAGGTTTGAACGCAAAAACTAAAACGACATATACATTACAACTTTTTACCGGGTTTACCTACTTTATGGGGATTTATTTGACATATATACAAGGGAATTGACAATTCAAACCCACTGGGTTATCGAAATTCGGTATAATGTAAACTTACTATAAAGCTATTTTCATATAAATGATTTATATATGCTTCTAGAAGAGTTTAAGGTTTTCTATGTAGGAACTCCAGGTTCACTTTAAATGAACCTAAAGCTCAGCTTCTTAAGAAGCTGAATGCCTTCTTTAGAAAGGCTGTGGATTTAAAAGCTAAAAGTCTTCTTTTTCGCAAAGAACTGGATCTCTTCTTCAAAATTGCTGAAGATTTTTTTTCACAGTAGGGACGGATTGCTAAATAATCGATTAGTTGGATGTCTGGCTTGATCCTCTTCATTCGTATTACACATGTTGTAAATTCTATGTTGATTTGTCCAGCCTGCCTGAGATTGCAATATTTATGATAAAGCTTTGCATTGCTTGACAACCTAGGATGTTTGATATTGCAAATGGGCTACATCGGTCCATGTGTTCATATAGGCATGAACGGAAAATATGGTAAATGGCGCGAAACCTTTCTATGGAGGCATGAATGGAACAATATGGCGCCCAACGTAGTGCCGTAAATCTGAATGAAAAACTTCAAAATATTGTAAATGGCGGGAAACTTTTTATGGAGGATATTTTGAAACATGTAACACCACATTAGGCTTCAATGCAAGAAGTAAGCTATATTTCCGAAGTATATTTTCAATATTCCTATGCACATGTCTTCTATTTTTAGCCAATCGTTCATAATCCGTTGTTTTTCCCAGTAATTCTGGAAAAAATTGATTTTTTTTATCACACATAAAACATAAAGTCTAAGTCACCCTTAATTTAATATAAAGTAGATAGAAGAAGAAGAGCAAGAACAGCTGTTAACATTAAACGACTACAGTAATTTCTGAATTAATATTGTCCCTTTTTAGGTTACTTCCCGAAGTAAATTTTCAAAATTCCGATTCGTGTGTCTTCTATTCTTTGTCAATTTTTAAAAATCTGCTGTCGTTTCCCATTAATTTCCAAAAAAATGCATTTCCTCTATCACACATAAAACACAAAGACTAAAGCACCCTTTATTTAATGTAAAGTGCCAAAGAGAAGAAGAAGAACAAAAACAGCTGTTATCACTAAACGACTACTGTCATTTGTTGAAATAATAACCAGTATTTGGACAACAACACCAACAAAACAATTTTGTAAACAAACAATTTACACTCGAAAAATAATAAATTAGGTTTAATTAAAGAAAAATGTATTAATTTAGCTTAAATTTATCCTGGTTTGGCCATTATCAGCTAGCGACCAAAACAAGAGAAAGAAATCCTCTCAGGAGAAGCAAAAGAATTTTGTGGAAATCTGCCAATGCCCCACCATGGACTATAATCTACACAAAATCTGTCGCATTTGCCTCAAGGAAGGTGTTCCATGCACCTCAATTTATAGCACCGAATTTAGTATGATGCCCTCCAGTATGATGATGATGTGTGCCAAGATACGGGTCTACAAAAAGGATGGCTTGCCGGAGGTGATATGCAACAATTGCATCTATCGTCTGGGGGTGGCCTACCACTTTAAACAAGAATGTGAAAATTCCGATATTCGATTGAGGCAATATTTGGGTTTGCCCGATCGATATGGGTAGGTTTTAAGAGAATTACGAAGATGTAGAATTATTCAAAAAATGTTATTTCAGGGTATGTGATGCAGAGACAAATACTGAAACGAATTGGCCTTCTTTGGAGGCGAATAACAAGGTGCAGGGTGGCTATACAACGGGCAATTCAACGGATTCTGAGGAGGATGAGGAAGAAGATGAACGGAAAAGTCCCAAGAAAAAGAGGTTTGGGTTTCGATTATTAGTTTAATTTTATTTTTTATTATTTTTGTTGGTTTTTTTTTTCATTCCAGTAAACGACGTTCCCGCTATCAACGTAAACCACCCGAGGAGCACAAGAAACGTGGACCAAAACCCCTACCCAAATTACCGCACACCTGCTATGAATGCAATAAAACCTTTCGATGTGCCGCCCAACTGCAGACCCACATTCGAACACACACCGGTGAGAAACCCTTCGGCTGTGCCTATTGTCCGCGACGTTTTGTCCAAAAATACAATTTACACATACACGAACGTACCCACACTGGCTACAAACCATTTCAATGTGAAATTTGTTCGAAACAATTTTCCGCACTGGGTAATTTTCAGGCCCACATGAAGATACACAGTGGTGTACGGGATCAACATTGCCCGGTGTGTCAGAAATCCTTCTACACAGCCGGAGATTTATCGAAACATATGCTCACCCATACGGGTATAAAAAATCATCATTGTGATGTTTGCGGCAAGGCATTTAGTCGTCATCGCGATATGCAGGCCCACAAAAGGAAACTGCATCAAATGGCGAACATGAATAAACGTAGCGATGATGAAGATGAGGAAATTGTTGTTAATTTACCAATGGTGGGTGGTGGCCATCATGGACATGGCCAGACGGAAGCGGCAACAATGGTTTCAACGCCATTGACGGCAGCAGCACCACCATTACCACAACCAGTGGCTCCACATCCATCACATATGGCAATGGCACCACCACATCACCCTCATCCTCACTATCATAATCACATGACAGCGGCGGCGCCAAATCCATTAGGACCTGTAGCACCACCTCCACCCCATCCCCATCATGAAAGTTTACACATGCATCATTTGGGTTTGCAGGCAAATCCTGGTGGCGGTATGACCATGGCTGCACACATAATGGGACCGCCACCAACACATGCTGGCGGTCCGCCACATACGTTGTCAGCAACGGGACCTCAAGCCTTAACCTCAATGATGCACCATACAGCAGCAGCAGCAGCAGCGGGACCACCACCACAACGATTACATCCGTATTAGAGAAAATTGTATTGCTAGGTAGAATTTTTTTAACTTTTTGTTGTAGTCATTTATAAAAAAGAATTGTATTATTTACAATAAATCGAGAGTGAAAATGTGGAGATGAAAAAAATATTTTTAAAAAATCGAGGATATGGTGGGTGGGCGGATATAGGTGGGTCATAAAAAAATATTTTTGAAATACCGATTTTTTTTAAAACATTTGGTCTGTTCCCGTACTGCAAGAATCTACTATTTTTTACTCCGATAACACTTTTTTCCTTTATGATATCGAAGAAAATAGTAAAATCGAGTAGATTCTTGCAGTACGGGAACAGACCAATTTATTAAAACATATTAAAAAAAATCGAAGCTATGTGTGGGACATTGAAAATTATTTTTAAAAATGTCGAAGCTATAGGTGGATAATTTAAAATCATGTCACGAAAAAACATTAAAAAAAAAATCGAAAATCAGTTCATTGAAAACATATGGTCTTTTTACTCCGATAACACTTTTTTCCTTTATGATATCGAAGAAAATAGTAAAATCGAGTAGATTATTGCATTACGGGAACAGACCAATATTTTTTTTATAAATTCATTCCGATTTTCGGAACATAGAGGATTTTGTACAATATTTCTGCGTAAAATTGTACACCCAATTTTACGCAGAAATATTGTGTTCTAGATTCTCAAATTCGAAATTTTTGGCATTAGGCTTGACAAAAAACAGCTGTTTTCGATTGCTACCTGGGTGACCTTATTTATAGATCTTGCAGCTAACTTTCGCTAGCTGAATGTCCTTAGATCTTTGCACTTACCTTCTTATTTAAAAATAATGCATAATTTTTTTATAGGTTATGAAAATATTTTTTGTTATTTTATTTCGTTTTGTTTTTAATTTTCTTATCTCATTTATTTATTTGTGTTATTTTTGTTTTGTATTTTTGGTTGCAATTTTTTGTTGTGTGTCGAAACTTTTTTTGTATATAATATTTATTATTATTT